TTCCACTTTTGTGGAAATACGGCTAAAACCAGCGGTTGAAACCGTCGTAAGAAACTACAATGGCATGGCCGCTCTCAGGTTTCTCTCTGATATGATCATATATTTATATACAATCAGAATTGTAAACATTGCATATATTAAACATTGTTGTTAATTTTCCTTGATATATCACGTTACTATTGTTGGAACAAAGTGGCAAATAATAAAATCTTATCTTTCAAATAAAACTCTTATCTTAAAATATATTTACACTAAGAAACATATTTATATACACAAATATATATATAAATATTTAATATAATATATAGATATGTACATTTGTAAAAGTTAAAAACACCGTTTGAAAATTTTGAAAAATTTTGTAAGGTTAAGTTACGTATATTACAAGCATGAAGTAAGAGTAAAGAGATCGAACTCCGTGATATAAAAGTGGTCCCGATTCTGACGCCTAATTGGGAGGAAATCCGCTCAAGGGAATAGTTTCTTACGGTTGGACGCCATTTGCAAAGTAACGTAACCTGACCTTGGCTGAGTTCCGTTTCACGCATATGCGCGCATTTAACTATAGTACACGTTACATATAGTATAGATAAATGCGCGCATATGCGCGCGCGCGCGTGAAACGGAACGCAGCTCTGTCAGTTTTTAGTTAGTATTACATAGCAATTATTTTTTTGACACTAAAATCACTTTCTGCTTTCACAAAACCAAAAAATGTGTCGTTTCCAGTTGTAAATCCTCAATTTGGAGAAGGCAGCTCAACTAAATGCAAATTTTTTTGTAAATACTTGAATTTATTTGCTGCTTGTTCCATTTCCATTGAATTTCTTTCCATTATACTCATGAGCCTGAAAATGATAGTCTTTTTTACTATTAATTCCTCAATGTTACTTTTTTCCATTATTAATCTTTTTGTTTGTCCGATTTTGCGTATCTATAATTTTATTTTCAATTACCCAAAGCGTTATAACACGATGCACGTGAAACAGAAAACTTCTAAATCTTTTATCACTTTATTTTGTTATATTGCTGAGAAATTTCTACATTAAAAGAAATCTCACGATTCGGAGCATAAATATAGTTACATATACTAAATGTGTACATGTGGTAGTTTTGCAAATGGCGTCCAACCGTAAGAAACTATTCCTTTGAGCGGATTCCCTCCCAATTAGACGTCAAAATCGGGACCACTTTTTGGCGCGCTATAAAGTTCGATCTCCTTACTTTTACTTCATGATTACAAGTTTGTACTGTTCGTACACACACTGGCTGCTTTTCTTTTAGGAGACACAAAAGTCATTCTGTCTTTGTTCAGTATTCAGTGAGAAACAAAGACAGAATGACTCTTGTGTTGATTTGTGTCGACTGTGTCTCCTAAAAGGAAAGCAGCCACTGTATATATCGCGTTCCATTTACTGTGGCAAACTGTGCTCGAGTGTGTTAATCTGTGTCGATTTGTGTCTCCTAAAAGGAAAGCAGCCTATGATGACACAGTTGAGTAGAATCTGCTGCAAAGTGCTGATTAAACCTGCGTGCATACTGCTGGCATACTGCTATCATTTGGCTATCGGAGTATATACTCACCATACTCTCTGTGTAATGAAGCCTCAAGGATGCATTTATATTTCAAGAATAATCCTCTACTATAATACTTACTAATCGCATACTCAACGTTCTAGGTATAAAAAAGTTTCTTTTTCTGGAAACATGTTTCCCTCTTTTAGTCTCGCATTCACGTATCCAGCGTGCCATTTCTGATCTGTAAACAAAAAAACACTGGCTCATATGGCTCATATGGCTCATTACGAAGTAAGAGTAAGGAGATCGAACTCCGTGATACAGAAGTGATCTTGATTGTAATCCCTAATTAGAAATCCACTTTTTCTATTTGCACGCTATCAAGTTCGATCTCCTTATTCTTAATTCGTGTGACTTATATGCTACAAGCTGACAGGTAAGGTCAGCATAAATGCCAGATCGAGGACGCTTGCAGCATGCTCAGCAAGTAGAGGAGATACACAGACGAAACGCCACAGAGCTTATACTCATGGAGAGGCTCTAGGAGCGCAAGGAGGATCGACAAAGAGAGATATATTTTTCTGTTTCAATTGTAGGCACTTCTTATAGAAGAGAACACGGAGTGGGGGAGCCACAGTTGATATCTTAGAACATATATACTGGAAGGGGCATAGCTAACTTGCCGTTGTCCGCAACATCTATCTATCCTTGTCTGTACATAATACCGTAATACGCATGCGTCGATTATGTTGATGTGTGTATGTATGACAAGCTAGAACATATATATACCTTCACATACACATATATACCTTCTTAGTCGGTTATCCTCTCACGCAAGCGCATTGACAGATTTCGTGCAGACAAGGATAAATAGATGTTGCGGACACTTTTGTTACGTATGTCAGATAGGCTATGCCCCTTCCAGTATATATGTTTTAAGGTTGAGACAGAATATATCTCTCTGTTGCTCCCATAGACTTATATAATAGACGGAACATTTATATGACAAAGTTGAGAACAACATTAAAGGACAGAGATAGTGCTGGAGTAGTTGTCTCTCTCTCTCTTACAATAAGATGGAGGGGGACCAATTACTTTAAGGTCCCCCACCACATAGACATATAAGTCTATGCTTAGACGTAAAAGGCTATTACTTTTGACTTGTGTGCTCAAGTCTATGCATGCTACATGCATGCTATCACCTCTCACTATCACTCTCTCTCAATTGACTCTCGGATGTCTATCTTCATCATATATGTAATACTCCTATATTGCTAGTACGGTGCCGACCTGAGGGCGACGTCCCATTGAGCGGAAATCTATAGCGGAACGGAATGTGCGGAACCAGCTCGACCAATCATAGCCATTCCGTTTTCTTTCCTTCGCTTATTCTGTGGTTACGATTGGTCGAGCTGGTTCCGCACATTCCGTTCCGCTATAGATTTCCGCTCAATGGGACATCGCCCTGAAGCTCACCGTTACGGTGCAGACAATATAGTAGCCTCTCTCTCCAGCTGCTTTGTGCGCATGCGGTGAACATTCAAGCACGCTTGCGCATTTCTCTTTCTCGCGTTCTTTCTCTCACTTTCCAATGCTTTGTCTCGCTCGCACTCACTTGGTAGATGCGCCTGCGCATAATGACGCTCGACCATCTATGCCCATATTTGGACTTTGTGCGTCTCCCTTTCTCGGGCCTCGTGCCTCTCATTGCGAAGATACGCGACTAGCAATATAGGAGTATTACATATATGATCTTCATTGCTCTCGGCCACTCCCTCGGCCACCAATCAACTCACTGCTAGAAAAGAAGAAAATTACTCCACGACTATTTCTGTCTCTTTTAACGAAGCTTCAGCTCCTCTTACACGAATGTTCCGTCTATTATATAAGTCTATGGTTGCTCCTCGCGCGGCCCTCTCTATAGTTAGCATATAGGCAAGGCCTCTCCATGAGTATAAGCTCTATGCGAAATGCACACAGACGAACAGCCGTGTGCGTGTACTCTCAGCGCTTTGGCGAGTGGCTGCTTGCTTGTGTGCTCGGTAGCAAGCTGCAAGCGTCCCCGATCATCGAGTTAATCGGGGCCCGATCTGGCATCTATGAAAGGTTACGTTACAAATTGCAAATGATGTCCAACCGTAAGAAACTATTTCCTTGAACGGATTCTCTTTCAAGACGTCAAAATCGGGACCACTTTTTCCATTTGCGCGCTATGAAGTTCGAGTTATCTCCTTACTCTTACTTCGTGGTTGTAGGCAAACCGTTATATAATCATAGATCAGCATTTTAGCTAATCTAAGATAATACTGGTCAATAACACTGTTCAACACATTTTTGAAACTTGAATAAAGAAAGTGTTTTCTAATGTATTTTTGATCGCTGAAAACGAATCCGGCGGCAAAAATGCCTTACCACGTCAGGTATCCAAAAAAATTAAGTTTAAACCTACGTAGCACAACAGCGTGCAAAGCGCTTTGAAAGCGCTGTTGAGAACGCACCTCTCAAAACTGCTGTCACTTTGTTTGCAGATGAATAATTTGAGTGGGTTTGATTTACAATGTTCCAAAAATTTCTAAAACTTAAAAGTTGAAAATGTGTAACTTGCTCTGAAAAACACTTAAAAATATCTGCTTCAATCATGCGTATAAAAAGCACTTTTAAACAGTCCACATATCACGTAATATTGCGGAAATAATATCACAATAAAATTAAACAAAAAATTACAGTAAAAGTGCAATATACCAGTAATATTAGATATTATAATATTACAATAATTATCGATATATTACATTTATATATAATATTGAAATATTACTGTAATATTGTATTGCATCACAAGTAGCAAGATTATATATCAAATATGTTTTTATTGTCTTATAAATGTTAGAGATGTCATTTAACGTCATTTACTATTTAGTACGTTGCGCATACATCGCATTGCATCTTCTATCTATATATATACTATGATACATATATTTTGCTACGCTGTTGCAAAACCCTTACAACTTTTATTTTAAACATAAACGCTTTGTTTTCAAAAAATTTATTATATCAACAAAAAATACTGTGTGGATGTATAACAGTTTTACTATATCATTATTTACTATATAATTATTATTATGTAATAAAAGTAATACAAATAAATGTGTATACATATTTTTATATATCTCATTTGATATATATTTATTAAGAAGTGACTATAATAATCAGTATGTTAACAAAAAATTTGCGTAAAACTGTATTTTAAATTATATTTAATAATAATACGTATTTAATAATACTACTACAAGAAAGATTTTTATTTATATTTTTTCTGTTTCAGGTACATTGCACCGCAATATTTTTAATAAAATAATAATTTAATTAAATAATAAATGAAATGTGTGTAGAATAGCTTGAGAATAAGTAGATAGAAGAATTACATTTTATTAATAGTAAAAAGGCTATACGAGCGATGTACTGTTCTTCATGTACTTTTATTATAAATTAGGTTGAATATAAAATTTCTTTGTTTTCAAACTTTTCAATCCTAATCCGAATCTTCTTCAGTGAATTCTACATCAAAACTTGATTATATAAATCGTTTGAAAACAAAGAAATTTTATATTCAACCTAATTTATAATAAAAGTACATGAAGAACAGTACATTGTTCGTATAGCCTCTTTACTATTAATTCAATTTTCAACAAATATATCTACATATTAATTACATCTTAGTAAGTAACAAGTAGTCTCGCGGACTGAGTGCATGGGCTGCGAATATAGAAGTCTCGAGTTCAAATCCTATCATCACCTCAAGATTTTTTTCGGGTCCCGGTACCTTTCATTGAGTTAATCAGTTGATCGGCAAACTTAATCAGGTCTCCAAAGATTAATTTCAGTGAATTCTCGAATTAAGTCTTCTCTTACAAAGCAAAGTGCCATTGATTTTATATTGTATATATATATTACCGTAACATTACTGTGACGCATTTTGGGGCGGACATTTTAATATTATTAATATTAAATTAACATTACGGTAATAGTTTCACTATAGTAGAGTGAAATATAGCAATAAAAAAACAATATTTCTCTGTGATATTGTAATATTATGTGCTATGTGGGAAATTTTGAATGCGCTTAAAATGCTTTAAAACTGTATTTATCCTGTGCTAATCGTATACGCTTATAATGCGCTTTTTTTTTAGTGGATTTTGAATGCGCTTTTAAATTGCTACAAAAATAGTAAATTTCAGTATCTGCAATAGCGTTTTTTTAGCGCTTTTCAGGCGCTAGTGTGCTACGTGAGAATGTGACAAAATTGTGTTACGTCCTGGGGACTCCACGGTCTCCTTTTTCTTGCAACGCGACGCGCCAACGCATAACAAACCTTTTTTTGTAAATAATGAAAAACAATAAATAACTCAAACGGGTCTCCTATCGTTTGGAAACTTAGACTCCAAACGATAGGAGAGCAAACGGAAATCATATCGGCGCTCGAAAAGATAAACCGCGCCTAATAAGAACCCGGAATTTTGCTATAACGAGCAAGAAAAATTTATCGTTTAAACACTCTGAGCAGCTTTTCAAACAAACCAGGGAATCTCCGGGTCAAGAAAAACACCGCTTATAAAATTTAGAGCAGCCGGCGCAAATAGAAACTCCGGCGCCACGAGCAATTTTATTATAAACAAATAGCAAAGGGTCTATGTGGCGTGATAAAAAAAAACAACACTCTCCCTTTTCCCTTCTCCGGAAAATCGAACGAGCCGACCGAGCCGAGAGATCGTCGCCGGTTTGCGATCTCACAAAGTTTACCCGACCACTAACTAACAAATAGGAACTGGTGAAGCTCGACTGAGTTTTCCGATTGGGAGAGTTCTCGCTTAATCAAAATTGTATATAAGCCAGGACTCTCAGAACCGGAATCAAATAGGAGCCGCTGATCTTAAGAATCGGGAGTGTTGTGCAAAGAATTTCAAAGGTGAAGTTCGGTGCAGTGAGTGCCAAACCAAGACATCGCCGCCGCTCAACTAAGTAGTAAGTGCTTTCAAGGAACCAATTGATTACTGAGATTCCACGAACAAAAAATAGAGATTGAGAAAAAGAGAGAAAAACGATAAAGTCTCGCATGAATCAGACACAGCAGCCGCATTACTGAACTGTCTAAGATAGCCTCTCATCTCTTTCCTTGATCAGAGAGGATATCCGCGATCTTGAAACGCTCTGGATGACTTCTGATAGACATCCGCGGTTTTGAAT